GTTGTGTTTGCACATCTCTGTTGCTTGTGGGGCTCGCACACAAGAATTTCACTCGCATGTGCTGTGCCAGTGTGCCTGCACATGTGATGTAACAATAAAAAGTGATTTGATTTGATTTGATTTGATTTGTTGGTCTTCCTTGGTCTGTTGTGTTCTGGGGGCCTCTGGATGTCTGGAGTTTTGATCTCCTCCATACCTGCTTCATGCCCTGGAGGACGGGGCTGTGGCCCCCCCACACCCTCTAGCAGATCATTACATGAAGGAACCTTTTTTTTAAAAAAAACAAGCGCGTCCATGCTCACAGGTGTACACACGGGTGATCACACCCACAAACTACACCCTTTTTGGCTCCTACCTCAAAGCACACTGTGTTCTGTTGATCTTATGTGCTGCACAATAATGTTTAATATTTAGTATTTACTGTCATATTCCCATATATCATTGTGATGTTGTTTATTCTATTACTCTTGTTCTCTTCTGCTTTTCTTTTTTCTTTCTCAGCAGGTGATCCAGGTGATCGATATATGCTTTTTTTTCTTCTTCTTTTTTCCTCTGCTCATTCTGTTGGTTTTTGTCTTTTGCCCTTCTCCCCCGTCCCTCTTCTCAGCTGTTTCTCTTTCCCTCTTTCTTTCTCCCCTTCTTTCCCCCAGTCAAGTCTGTCCCGTATTCAGTAAGTGAAAATAAAATAAACAATAAAAGGTGAATCAAATGGACCATTACAGCAAGGCTGGGATGGTCAATTTGGTAAAGTAAATCCGTTGGGCATCTTTCTTTGCCTTTAGACAACAATTCTGATGGCAAAAGAGCCAAACGGGACAGGCAAAAAAAAAAGAAAAAAAAAAAAAGAAAAACCTGTTAATGAATCTATTATTTCTAGACTGGATTATTGTACAAACAGGATGTCCTTCGTGCATGTGCAATGCTGATAGACAGAAGGCAGAAGTTAACCACAATTACAGCACAGGTGTCACAGGCTGTGTCCCAATTAAGAGACCGCACACTTGAAGTACGCATTTTGAGTGCGATTATGTCACAGCCACGCGACGACGGCTGTCCCAATTCGAAGTGTACTTCAAATGCATACTCCAAATACAGCGTCGATTTCCCCAAATATCAAGCGTGGTCCGGTGCACGCTTCGTGGTCCCATATATCCCACAATCCATAGCGCGGCGGTGGGTGTGGATAATTTTGCTGCAAAATACAGCAGAAGGGAGCGGCCGAAGAGTGAAAGTAAGTACTGAATATGATGTCACTTATTTATGTGTGAATGTTTAATAATGAAGAACATTAAAACATTACTGTTGGCCACATGTCGGCAAAGTTATGTGACATTAGTGATGTTTGTACTTTCAGCGTTAACTTGGTTTTTAAAGCCTCTACTTCAAAATATATATATAGTTGGCCCTAAACTTACAGAGAATGTGATGGTTTTATGGATAATTAAAGTCAGTCATATATCCACAAACACAACAAGCTGAAAGTGGGTGATGCTGCTCGGTTTGCAGTCCTGAATATCACGGCACAAGCAGGATCCACTGCACTGTTAATGTTAGCTATGTTATATTGCTGCCTCTGTTCGGTGGTGTCGAGCCAAACGGACTTTAACGTGTGTTTGAATGAGCTGAAAGAAAGATGCTTTAATCACAGGAGTCACACATGTGTCCACTGTACCATCTGGGAACTCTTCTTGTTTAGCACTCGTAATAACACAAACACTAAATCTTCCTTCTCTTGTGCTGTTTTGTAGCAGTGTCTACACCTGAGACTGTCACCTGTCTGTCTGTCCTGCACTCTCTCTCTCTCTGTTTCTTTCTCTCTGATTGTGTAATAAAAGTATGAACATGTATTTATAAGTTACACTTGTGTCCAGCTTTGTCCAGCCACTGGTAGGATTTCTGGATATCAGCCACCCCCTCTATCTGCCGGTGGTACATACCGTGCAGGGGCCTGTCCTTCCATGATGGTTCCTTGTCTCCCTTCTCTTTCTTGGGTTTCTGCTGCCTGAGGTATTCACTGAGCACTCGGTCAGTTGGGCCATCTTCCCACTGTATTCTTGGATGTTCGTTGTCTCATCCTGGACTGTGGTGCTGACACTCACCAGTCCCCGGCCCCCTTTCTTCCGCTTAGCGTACAGCCTCAGGGTGCTGGACTTGGGGTGAAACCCTCCATGCATGGTAAGGAGCTTTCTTGTCTTATGTCAGTGGCTTCTATCTCCTCCTTTGGCCAGCCTATTACCCCAGCAGGTACCTGATCACGAGCAGGGCATACGTGTTGATGGCCCGGATCTTGTTCTTACCATTCAGCTGACTCCTCAGGACTTGCCTGACCCTCTGCAGTACTTGTGGTTGCAGCTTTCTAGCGGCCTCTTCATGGTTCCCATTCGCCTGCGGATCCCCAGGTACTTGTAACTGTCCTCTATGTCTGCAATGTTGCCTTCTGGTAGTTCAATCCCCTCAGTTCTGACTACCTTCCCTCTCTTTGTTACCATCCGACTACACTTCTCCAGTCCGAACGACATTCCAATGTCATTGCTGTATAGCCTGGTAGTGTGGATCAGTGAATCGATGTTCTCGTTCACTCTTGGCATACAGCTTGATGTCATCCATGTACAGGAGGTGGCTGACAACTGCTCCGTTCCGTAGTCGGTATCCGTAGCCAGTCTTGTTAATGATCTCACTGAGGGGGTTCAGGCCTATGCAGAACAGCAGTGGGGACAGAGCATCTCCTTGTAATCCCGCACTTGATGGTGACTTGTGCTATGGGCTTGGAGTTGGCCTCTAGTGTTGTGCGCCACATCCCCATTGAGTTCCTGATGAAGGCTCTTAGGGTCCCATTGATCTTGTACAATTCTAGCATTCCAGTATCCAGCTGTGGGCATTGATCATAGCCTTCTTGTAATCAATCCAGGCAGTGCACAGGTTGGTCAGTCTGGTCTTGCAGTCTCGGCTGACTGTTCTGTCTACCAGTAGCTGGTGTTTTGCGCCTCTGGTATTCTTGCCAATTCCTTTCTGTGTCCCACTCATGTATTGACCCATGTGCCTGTTCATCTTAGCCGATATGATGCCTGACAGGAGCTTCCATGTAGTACTGAGGCAGGTTATTGGTCGGTAGTTGGAGGGGACCGTCCCTTCTTGGGTCCTTGGGATCAGACCGTCCGACCTTCGGTTAGCCAATCCGGGTGTCTCTCGTTAACTAGCAGCTGGTTCATTTGTGCTGCCAGACGCTCGTGGAGTGCAGTCAGCTTCTTCAGCCAGTAGGCGTGAACCATGTCGGGCCCTGGTGCTGTCCAACTCTTCATACTGGGACCCTTTCTTGATATCTGCCACTGTGATGGTTACTGGACCCTGTTCGGGGAGGTCGCTGTGGTCTGCCCTCAGATCCACTAGCCACTGAGCATTGCCGTTATGGTTGCGTCCTTCTCCCATATGCTCTTCCAGTATTGCTGGGTCTCCAGCCTGGGTGGTGCTGTTCTCTTATTATTATTGTTCCCTTGCCACTGAGAGTACACCTTTGCTGGTTCTGTGGAGAACAGCTGGTTTATTCTCCTGCCTTCTATCTCTCTGGTATACCTCCTTCTTTGCACCTTCTTTGTCGCACCTTTCTGCAACTCCGTTAGTTGGCTAACCTCCCTCCGTGCTACTTTGATCTTGCCCTCTAGCCTCCTTCTCCATGGAGGGTACTGCCCCTTGTGGCTGTTCAACTTGTAGCCAAGCATCTCACTGATCACTGCTGCCGTATTGTAGATCAGCTTGTTAGTGTCGGTAATCGTGGTTGTAGGTATTGTCCGTAGTGCTGCATTAACATCATCTAGCAGACCTTCTGAGGGTACTTCACTTAATCTTGGTAACCGGCTATGGGGGATCCAGGTTTCAAGCTTGGCTATGATCCTATTTTCAGGTCAGTTCCTCTCGCATTTAACGATCCTTCTCCTATTGCACTTGGGGCTATGTACCCAATCTCGGGTGGGGGTGATGATATCTCCCCCTGACCTGGCGTCCTGACTCCTCCTTGCCGTAGCATTTGTGTTGTACCTCGTCAATCTCTAGCTGTGAGAGCAGTCCCTTCTTTCGAATGTTGGAACACTGAGCTACTACTTGTTTTGCCGTCATTGTGGATGTTGGGTATCGAAGAATCCATAGGTCCATCATCCTATTCATGTAGCCCCTTCCGCCGGGGTTACTTGCGTAGTAGCATTCCAACAACGCCCTGTTTTCGTCTCTTGCCCACCGATGCCTTGTTGTTCCAGTAGCCCACTTTTCGTCAGGGTGCCCTGGTTCCTCAACACCTGACGCGGACATTGTTGATCCGGGCGACGTCCGAGCCGGCATGCCTTCATATTTATCTGTCTCGCTCATGTGTATATAATATATATATATATATATATATATCATATATATGTATACATGTATATATATATATATATAGATAGATATATATAGATAGATATATATATATATATAGATAGATATATATAGATATAGATATAGATAGATCTATATAGATATAGATAGATATAGATATAGATAGATATAGATATAGATAGATATAGATAGATATCTATATCTATATGTGTGTATATATCTATATCTATATGTGTGTATATATCTATATGTGTGTGTGTGTGTATATCTATATGTGTGTGTGTGTGTGTATATCTATATGTGTGTGTGTGTGTGTATATCTATGTGTGTGTGTGTGTATATATCTATGTGTGTGTGTGTGTGTGTATATATCTATGTGTGTGTGTGTGTGTGTATATATCTATGTGTGTGTGTGTGTGTATATCTATGTGTGTGTGTGTGGTATATATATCTATGTGTGTGTGTGTGTGTGTGTGTGTGTGTGTATCTGTGTGTGTGTGTGTGTATCTGTGTGTGTGTGTGTGTGTGTATCTGTGTGTGTGTGTGTGTATTTACCAACATCGAGCAAAGAGCAACCACACCATGGTACATGTTTAACTAAAAAGAAGTTTATTGATCAAATATATTTATTAAACAAATAGAAAAAAAAAACAGCCAAAAAATACATGTTCAAAGCAACACAAGGGTAGCCCATTATCAGACAGAATTGTGAAGTCCACTCTGTAAAGTGGGCAGTCATAATAATGAAGCAGTACACTTTAATTTCTACATTCAAGACGTTCTTCATATTTTTGGCCACCAGATGTCACCAGACAGGACTATCTTGAAACACTTCGATTAATGAACCGTTTTTTAACACAAGCTTCAATGCTTCAGAAAGCTTCATTTGGCCATCAATAGTTCTAGTTCAAGCTATCCAAATACAATGTTCTCCTATGGCCTATTCCATTCAATTGAGAAGACTAAACATTACCATCATAATCATTTACTTATGATGCTACTCTTTACCAGCAATAAAACACACTTCTAAGATATAGCTCTTACATTTTACAACAACACATATAACTCTCAAGCAAACAAGATACACATCCATTTGGCTTTCAGTTCTTCCCTTACTGAGTGTATGGCATTCAATCACATTTTTTTCATTAGGCCTTCATAGAACTTAATTTTCTGTTGCTGAGCTAGTTGCTGGATGATGTTATACTCATAATTTCCAGGATGTACTCCAGTTCTTAACCTTTGTTGTGAGTATTTCCCAGTAGTGACTCCAGTTTCCATCACTGTCAGCGCCATAACCAAACACATCAACCTAGGAAGACAAAAAAATGAACATATGAATGAATGGGAAACAAATGCATGAACAAAATGTCCCTTTTCTAACTAAAATCCAAACAATGGCTGCTGAAAAATGAAATGAACAGTTGGAAGCGACCTGAGCACTAAATGGAAACACTATGATTATACCATGAGTATACAATGACAAAACCTCTTATTGAGAGGTTTAGCTAAAAAGCTTTCCATGAAGGAATGTCTTCTAGATTGTAGTCTAGTCAATTTAAGAAGGGGACACATCAGAAATACTTGCAACAGCTTTCACTTTCATAGGGCATGTGAACTGAAATTTAACCATTCACAGATTAAACCAGAGTTTTTTAATCAAGTGGTACTGGTGGGTAAACCTGCTCTGATCTTCACCAAAGACATTTTGAACTTTTGAAATGCACATCTATTTAGGAGAGCAATATAAGAACAAAAGAACAAATTAGCAAAGACTCAAATGGACCAGCTTGTATGACAATAAAAATCATATTTTATTTTGTACGTCTGGCACTCAGAAACTGAAAACTTGTACTTACCTCATCACAAATGTGAAGTGCAAGAATCAAAGCCATAAAGCCAGTGGATGGATAACGTCCCTTATTTCCAAGCCAAACCTCATGTACATATTTCATAAAAGCTGGATTTACCACCATGACCTGTTAGAAATTAGAATGAGCCTTTAAACAGCTTTTATTTTTAAATATTACCATTGCCACCAGGAAGCTTTGCCATTGACGCTACTCACCAAATCCTTGTTAGTTTTGATCTTTGATTTCACTGGCATATATGACCTGTTGGAAACAGCATGATATGAAAAATATGAAGTAGGTGTATAACAAAAACAAAGCTAAAAAAGGCATGGTCCGTCTTGAACATGGAGAAGGATCAGAGTAATGGTTTGATACAGAAATTCACCTTATTTCATCTCACACTACATCCATCAGCCAAATCCTTTTAATCTGCATACATGTTGAATTCATGCAGTGGCATTCTATTTTTGCATTTGATGTAAATTCTGTACTGCAAGACAATCTAGGGGAAATATTTCAGATAATTGCTTAGTAGCAGGTGTGGTAATTTTAGCAGCTGGGAGAGAAGAAGGTAGTGTATGCTGACTGTAACATCTAAACCTTAGAGTGTTATTTTTTCTTTTAATGGGGTGGCATTGGTGGGACCAAGAAGAAAGCTGGGCAAGCTCAGATGAAATCAGAATATTTTATCTGAAACAAAATAAAGTACAAAATGATTGTATGATTTTCATGTGCCCAAATTAGTGGCTGCACAACTGCCTAAAAATGGTTCACATAAAATAACTTTTCAACAAGCATTAAGAGTCTTTATTTAATTTTTTTATTTTTACTTTATATTAAGTCACAATCCTAAGAACAGTACAAAAGCATACGTAAATGAACTACAGTAAGATGAGTTGTTATGAGGACACTTCATCTGTCTGCATGTTGCATAAAAATGTAGTCATAGTATGATTTCAGGATAATCAGTTTGTAGAGAGCTTAAAGGTGCCGTCATTTGAAGTCTGTCTTCGTGGAATACATTACAGAAAGACTTTGAGCTCTCTCGCTTAACTGATTTGCTTGTAGATTTAAAAGACGTCCCAGTGCTGATTTTCATCACTGGGAACTTGATCTTAATGAGGCAGATTTTGCTATTTTATTTTTTCTATTTTATTATTTTCATTTAATTATGTTGTCTAAAACAGGTCTCTCTTGTAAATGAGACACTGAGTCTCGTTAAATAAATGTCAAATACATGTGCATGTAGCCCTGAAAAAGAGAACTCACCTTCCAGTAAATCCTGTTGTAGAGGCATTAATGAGCCACTCAAAGTCCTGTATCTTGAAGGGAAACAGTACAAAATGGGTGTTGTCATCCAAATCCACAGCACTCTCTGGATACATGACATGATGAGTTGTCTTGTTTCCAACGTCTTTTTCAAAGCCTCTGGTAATACCAGTGTTCATTCTAAAAAGCACAAAGGGATATATTTCACATCAGTTTGGCTCTTTTGTGTAGGAGGGGATATTTCACTGCATTTCACTGCATATCATACTGTGTATGACTGTGTACGTGACAAATAAAATTTGAATTTGAATTTAATGGTAAAGAAAAATTGCTTTAGCTTAGAAAGTACCTTATGACAACTTCATGTAAATCTATCAGCGGTCCATAATGCGATCTCCTTAAATTACCAGAATTACCCACCACAGCACAAGTCCTGCAGTGGTCATATTTGGGTTGTATAACATCTGGATTCTTTGGGAAGATCTGAAACAAGTTGGCCACTGTTGTTTCATAAACTCTGAAGCTACGGCTTTCAGCCTGCAAATCCTGTCAGACATTTCAAATAAACTTTGTTGTTACACCAAATGAGCTGAGGGGGGGGGGGGGGGGGGGGGGGGGTGTAAAAATGTCATCCTTTCCTGGTGACTACTTACCTTCCACCAGTTGAATTCATTCTGTGAGAGGTTTAAGTTTGCAGTCAAAAATGGTTGAACACTTCTATTCGATCGATCCAGAAGCAACTGCTTATCCTCTGATAAACATTTTATGCAAGCACACAGCTTTTGGTCCACAGCATAATGAATCAATTGGTAGCCCGTTTTGACATACACACCAATACCAGTGAAAAACAGCAGGAAAACCAGCACCTTTGATTTTGAAATCATTCTAGATGTTTGACTGGGAAACATTAACAATCTGCAGACAGAGTGTGTGGTGATATAATCAGCAAAGTATAACAAGTTATAGTTTAGAAAGTCATCATATATAAAGCAACATTACAACACACTTAGCCATGTCTCATTTCTATTCACTTATAAGATAATAAAAAAAATAACATCAGCGAAGATTAAGCTGTTTTTACCGCATCATCTGGTAAAATATGATACTTTTATAAATGACTTACCCGATCTATGAGGAAATCGCTTTCTGGTTCAGTTTCATATAATACACGTACAAACGATGCGTAGACTCTATCGGTGAGCGCTTTTTCACCGTTTCACTCACAGGTAACAAGCGTGACATACTCGTTTGCTACCAGGGAACGTGATACCGTCATCTCTGACAAAGGTGTGGAGAGGTGTGGTTTGTGCGGATTTCCTCACGTTCCCATGTTCGCGTTTGGAAACAACCCATTTCGAAATCAGTCACACCAGGACAAAGCTTGTTTATTGCATCATAGACTACAGATTACACAATTTAAGAAAACACATTTTCTCTGTGGATCCTTTGGTTTCCATACCATCGTTAAAGTGTGAGTAACCCTCGGATGAGCTATATTTAAATCATTTTTATTGAACAACGGGAGGGCTGTTAGTTCCGCTCTCTGTCACTTGTGGACATACCCCGATTATGATCTTCCCTGATTATGAATCTTTTCCTTATAAATGTGACTTACACAGTAAGCCACCAAGTTTCTGTATAGATAGAAGTAGCATGTTTGTTAAGGGAGGACAATAATCTAGCAATATTTAAATAGCTTTACAGAGCTCAGGTGATGATATTACGTCTCATAAAGACATGATCCAAATTATTTTCTGGCGTTCATCAATTTTATTCCCAATTAGCAGTATAATTCAGTAGTGAGCAGTCGTGAGCATAGCTGGACTGGCCACGGGGCATACTGGGCATTTGCCTGGTGGGCAGATGGGGATTTTTCGTTTCGTTTTGCTTTTTTTTGCAACGGTATAAACAATGACAGGTGGTGGCCAGATTGGCCAGATGTTGGCAGATGTGTAAAAAGAACTCAGTTGTTTTCTATGGCGGAGCTTCCACAGTTTCAGTAACATTAGCAAGTGGTGGAGGCCAGCAGGTGGATCAGGGATAAGGGAGGCAGGAGGAGGAGAGACATGAGGCGCGGCCGGTCCGAGGGGCAGGTGAGAAGTTGGTCTGAGTGGGTCAGATATAAACCAAGTTTAGTTGTAGTTTATTTTCACATTTTTATTTCCTCCCAGTTAAAATAACTTGTACTGCGTACCAGCTAGCATGACGGATTTTTTATACTGCTAGACGGGTGCTATGATATTACTGATAGTGAACTTTATTTTATTCACAAATAGTTATTAGAGTTGCCAACCGTTCTGTAAAAACGGAATCATCATGTATTGATAGAAAATATTAATATTACTTCTCTCATTCTCTCCCCCTCCCTCTCCTTTTGATACTTCAATCATGAAACTGATAAATGATCAGCTGATCGGCTTTTCTCTCTTGTTTGTTTATTGCCCACTTTGCCCAGAAAGAGGAAACCAGCGGATAAACAACAGCAGCACGTTTAAGCTTGATCAGCTGTTGTTAGAATGTATTTAATATTAATTTCTAGTATCAACTGATGTTTGCTGGAGCCAAAGCCTTAAAAGCTGCTGGTCATGATATTGTTTGGATATCTGGAGACAGGGAAACATGAAGATGAAACCAGGAGATGTCCTTACTGAATCATCAGAGCTGAACAGGTGACGGAGAAACAGGTTTACCTTTTAGGTGACATGAATGAGTTGAAGGGAAGTTATGAACTGTTTCTGAGAGACAAATAACACAAAGATCCTTTTCTAAGTAGCTGGCAGCTGGTAACTGTGCAGGCGCGGGTCAGACAAAGTTTTGCCAGGGGGGCCAGGTAGGGCATTAATAGGGAAAGGGGGGCAGAAAATATATTTTTCTTTCTTATTCTCATTTAAACTGTTTGGCTTTTAATAAATCATTATCTGAATCTTACAACCAAAGTCATGTTATGTCACTTTTTAAAGGTTGCCATGTTAGAAAAAATATTTTGCCCTGCCATGCTGTTTATTGATGTGGTAAATGAATAGTTTATGAAAATATCACTAAATCTGTCATTTATTATTTTTAATATTCAGTAATGGTCATGTCTCACCTTTAGTCTTCTCTGTCAAAGGCTACGTTCACACTGCAGGTCTTAATGCTCAATTCCAATTTTTTGATCAAATCCAATTTTTTTGTCTGCTCGTTCACACTACAAATAAAATGCAACAGCAAACACGCTCTAGTGTGAACGCTCAAAGCGGCCCGCATGCGCAAAAGAAGATGTCACACACAACGCGCTCTGTTTAGACCCAGAGCAAACAGTATTGCTTGACTGATGGCCCTTAATAAAGACTTCGGACTTTACGTTTCCCAATTTTTGCTATAAGTTATTTTGTTATTTACATAATAATGTAAATAACCTAATAATGATCCTTATTGCTGTTTTAGAGGAGCGGTGCTTCAAATGATAGTTGCACATTTCTGTCAGAATCTGCAGATTATGCAGTCCAAATCAAATGTTAACGTTTCTCCAACGTTGTCTTCCCAGCAGTTTCACCGGATGGCCAGGAAGCGTTCGCGATGTATTATCAGGCGCTTCTCTGGCGCTGATAATTGGTGTCTGTCTTGTGTCAGTGACGTAAAAGACGGATTTAATGCGACTTGACCATTCACACAGCAGTCGCTTTCTGGAACATCGGATATGTATCGGATTCAGTACCACATACGAAAGTGACCCAGATCGGATTTGAAAATATCGGATTTGTGCCGTTCACACTGTCATACCATGATCGGATATGGGTCGCATAGGGTCAAAAAAATCGGATTTGATGCGCTTTTGCCTGCAGTGTGAACGTAGCCTTAATGTCAGGTTTCCACCATGTGTTGTAGATAGTTTAGGAGGTTAACTCGACCAAGCAGTCTTTTGGTTTCTGCTAAGTACGATTTAGAATACCAGAATATGGAGGATGGTGTAGGTTTATTAGACTTGTGCATATATACCAACAAGACAGTGTACATCATTGTCACAACAACGTTTGTTTTCATTCAAAGGCTTTATGGTTTTTCCTATAATGCCTGGTGGGCCGATCTCTAGTCAAAATGCCCGGGTCAATTTTTTGTCCCAGTCCAGCCCTGGCAGTGAGTAATTATCATTACTATAATTAATAGCCAAATTAACTGGATTTGAGTTTCCTGGGCAAAATTCTTCTTTTAGGCTCTTCATCTGATGCTTATGAAATAATAATAAAATACAAGTTAATTTAGCAATATCTAACACATCTATCTATGTGGACACAGATGTCACCTTAATGTATTTTAGACCATTTCAAATAGCTTCAGTAAAAATTAATGTTTCATACAGTGATTGCCTCTTTCTCTCAGTATGGCAAACAAAAAAGGTGTCATCGGTCATCTGCCAGGCCGCTTGTTGGGCATCTCCGCCACCGTGGACGCCCTCCTGAACGCCCTCCTGAACGCCGCCACTACCTTCCACGTGGCCGGCCTCCGGACTTGTTTCCACACCGCTGTTGCCGTCTGCACGGTCGGCCCCCAGAGCTGTTTCCACGCCGCTGTTGCCGTCTGCACGGTCGGCCCCCAGAACTGTTTCCACACCACTGCCTACTGCGTGGCCGGCCTCCGGACCTGCCCCACTGCCGCTGCCTTTCACACGGTCGGCCCCCGGAACTGAACTGTTTTGGCCTCCGGGTCGGCCCCCTGACCTTGTCCGTCTGGGCCTTTTCGGACTGTGAGTCTGCCTGTCAAGTTCAGTGTCCTGTCTGGTTCTGTCTGTTAATTTCCTGTTTTATTCTGAAGGTTCATGTCTGATGTGAGTTCAGTTTACATTTCCCCTGTCCCGTCAGCTCTGATTTCTCCCAGCTGTGTTGCCCTCCTGTCTCTTATCCCCTGATTACTGGTGTGTGTGTGTATTTAAGCCCTGTGTGTTCTCCTGCCTGTTGCCGGTTCGTCTGTATTACTCCATGTAAGTCTGCGCTTTTCTGCATTCATCTGTGTCTCTCTGCGTTTTTGTATCCTCCGTCAGTCTGCGTCTCTCTGCCTTTCACCCCGTGTCCTGTGGATTTCTAGTTGCTCTTTAGTTTTCCCAGTTTAGGTTTCCGTTAGCTTGTCTCATTATTCGTTTTCTGTTCCTGCCACTGACACCTTGTAAATAAACTCCACTAATCTTTTCATACACTGCTTGCTCTTGGGTCCTTTTTCCAACTCCACACGGCTCGCCTCGGCAGCCGTGACAAAAGGTCAGAATTATAACTAAATAAATAAAATTTATAATACGGGTCAGTGCTACTTTTTTCTCTTGTTTTGGACTGGGCTCAGACTATCTGAACACTACAATGACTCACTATCTCATTCCAAGATCCAAATTTGTATGGCAAGGTGGCTGGTGCTTTGTGGTTCCCATGCTGAGTTAATTGTAGAACTTTGTATCACTGTGTCTGTCAGGGTCCCTGTGCCTACCCGGTCGGCTCGGTATGGCTACATATGTTTTGTATTCTTTGATTTTTTTGCTGCTCTCTCCCTTCCCCTCTTTCCCTCCTCCGTCTGCCTGGGCGGAGCTCACCTGTGGGCTCCTGCCCTTGGCCCACGCACCTGTGGCTCATCACGAGTGATCCAGCTCCTTTATAAGATGGCAGCCCTGTGTTTCTCGTCGCTGGACCGTTGCCGACCCTCGTCAGTGTAACCCCAGCTCAATTACTTCTGAAGTGTTTTCACAGCGATTTACCTTACTATCCCTTCGTGTCTCTGTGTACAGATTCCCTGGACCTACCCCTGTGTTACCCGAGTGAGTGGAGTGTGAAGAGGAGTGGACGGTGTGTGTGTGTGCATCACTCCTCATTGCACAAGCGTGTGCATGTGTATGTGTGTGGATCACTTCTCAGTGAATCAGCATTTCGATTTAGGTATGTCTGTCATTTCTCACTCAATCAACGAGGGCACATGTGTTCAGGTGTGTGTTTCACGTCAAGCTGAATCAGTGTGTTTGTGTTCATCACTTTCCTGTTCTGGTGTTTTGGCTAAACCACGGCCTGAAGCGTGCCCTGGGGTCCTGCCCTCCTCCTCTTCAGTCTGTATGCGACCATTGCTGCTGCTGCTGTTCAAAGTTTAGTCCATCCTGGTTCTGGCGCCCATTGGGGCAGTCCTTTCTCCAGTGTCCATGGTCACTGCAGGTGAAACCTGCATCATCTTCTGTGTTTTGTCCGTTCTGAGGTGCCTT